TTGAAAGAAGGAGACCGTGAACTAAGTGCGAGTACCATTAGGGTTGAAAGAAGGAGACCGTGAACGAAGTGCGAGTACATTAGAGTTGAAAGAAGGAGACCGTGAACTAAGTGCGAGTACATTAGGTTTGAAAGAAGGAGACCGTGAACTAAGTGCGAGTACGTTAGGGTTGAAAGAAGGAGACCGTGAACTAAGTGCGAGTACATTAGGGTTGAAAGAAGGAGACCGTGAACTAAGTGCGAGTACATTAGAGTTGAAAGAAGGAGACCGTGAACTAAGTGCGAGTACATTAGGGTTGAAAGAAGGAGACCGTGAATAAATTGCGAGTACATTATACGATTGACAGCACCTCCTGGTCACAGAATAATGGTACCGAAATCTCCATCTTGTTCTCAAAATAATCTATGTTAGACTGTCCAGACTGAGAGAGCACAACGACTATCTGCTGAATACAATAGCATCCTCTCTTTCATTGCAGGGCCCGGCATGGTCAGGTGGTTGGGGCGCTCCACTCGCAATATGAGAGTCGTGGGTTCGAATCCTCGTTCCAACAAACGAGCTCGTCCTTTCAGCCGTGGTGGCGTTATAATGTGACGGTCAATCCCACTATTCGTTGGTAAAAGAGTAGCCCAAGAGTTGGCGGTGGGTGGTGATGACTAGCTGCCTTCCCTCTAGTCTTTCACTTCTAAATTAGGGACGGCTAGCACAGATAGCCTTCGTGTAGCTTTGCGCGAAACTCATAAAAAAAAAAAAACTTTCAGTACACATCCATTATTCATGTCATTGTTGGTTCTACCGACAATAAAACAGGCAGGATACTTCCTTGAGGTATAACAAGTCTTTCCATTGGTTAAGATCACAACCGACATCGACACAATATGTTACTACTGTGTATGGTATGATTTCCACGAGAAAGTGCAAGAGACATCTAATGAGGATATATAATGTAACGGTCAATCCCACTATTAGTTGACAAAGAGTAGCCCAAGAGTTGGCGGTGGAGGATATTGACTAGCTGCATTCTTTCTAGTCTATCATTTCTAAATTAGGGACCGCAGGTACCCCTCGAGTAGCTTTATGAAAATTGTTTTTGTTTGTTTGTTTTTAATTATGCACAAAGCTACACAAGGACTATCTGTACTCTAATAATGGCTGGAGACGGCTTGAATGGGTAATGAAGAAAAACTTTAATATAACAGCAAATGTACAACGTTTCGACAAGGTTTTGTCATCATCAGTTCGTTTAGTTCACCTAGTGTTTACTTGTACCTAAGATAACTATAGCACTAGTTCGTTTAGTGGACCTAGTGTTTACTTAACTAAGATAACTGCAGCACTAGTTCGTTTAGTGGACCTATAGTGTTTACTTGTACCTAAAATGATGACACTTATACCTGATGATGACAAAACCTTGTCGAAACGTTGTACGTTTGCTGTTATATTAAAGTTTTTTTTCATTACCCATTCAAGCCGTCTCCAGCCATTATTAGTCTCAAAGTGGGTTCCTCGTCATCGTATCTGTACTCTGCCCACCACGTGTATCGAAACCCGGTTTCTAGCGTTCTAAGTCCGCAGACATACTTTACGAGAAATTCAAAGAAACAAATCAAATAGTAATTTACAAAAAAAAGAAAGATAAATTATAGTTAGATAATAAGATGAAGATTTTTGCTAACTAATGAAGCGTTAAATTTAGAGTTGTAATAACCACTTTGTCACACACAGATTTGATAAAGTTGGCAAATTATATCAACAAGTTACTCGGAATTTTTTGTGAAGCAATTATAGGCGAAAGCAAGAATATCGGCTGCTCGTCCAGTTCCCGCGCAAACCACCACAGGAATCCGATGACGTACTGTTACAAGCACTTGGTAGAGGGCATCCAATCCACCTTCAAGCAGTAATAACACAACAGGAATTCCTAGGCCAGGTTCTGAAAAACAAATATTGTGCTGCAATGTGTTACATTGGACGAATTTTCCATAAATGGTCCTTTATAAGATAATGCGTCTAAGATTTTGTATGCTAAATTCAAATAACTGATTTTCTTAGATGCGTATCACTCAAATCTTTATTAATTATTTAACCCACTTAACTGTCAACACAGATGCTAGTAACTGATTATTCTGTGCCTAGATGACGCTAGTAACTGACAGTCCTGTCACCTCCGGAAGCTAGCAAATCATAACCCTGTCACATCTGGTTGCTAGGATCTAATAATCCTGTAATAAGATTCTGATAGCTTATGATCCTGTAACCATTGGTTGCTATAAAAAATGACAGTCCTGTTACCTCCGTATGCTAGCAAATCATAACTCTGTCACCCCTGGTTGCTAGGATCTAATAATCCTTTAACAAGACTCTGATAGCTTATGATCCTGTTACTTCCGGATGCGAGGAATTGATGATCCTTTAATTCTAATACTGTTAAGCTTATTCAACACAAGACGCCAGTAAGGGATAATCCTTTAATAGGATAAATTAAAATCTTGCATAATGACATGAATCATTTTATAATAAAAAAAGATGCTCTTCTGCTTATCACCATCATTTGTATATCATCATCCATTAGAACAATGTGCATATACCTGATTCTGTTTTCATAAGGATGAGTTTTCCTTAAAGAACTTAAGTAGCTGTAATTTGACTCCCAGTATTTTCACTTCTGGTAATTTCACTCCACATGCATTTCACTCCTTGTAAATTCACTCTCTGCCCCCATTGGCACAGCGGTTTGTTTGCGGACTTACAACCCTAGAAACCGCGTTTCGATGCCCATGGTGGGCAGAGCACAGAGAGCTGATTTTGTAGCTTTGTGTTTAATTTCAAACAAACAAAATTCACTCCCTATAATAATTTATTAACGTCAAATAATAATAAACAATAAAAGTAACATATATTAAAAATTATTAAAAGTGATTCAAGTTATGAGCTATTTCTCGTAAAAAGTTCATCTTGTTTTCTGGATTATATCTAGCAAGAAAAACTTAGGTTAGGCTATGGAATACTAAAACATATTTTTTGACATTAACAAATTATTACAGGGAGTGAACTGCATGGGGAGTGAAATTACCGGGAGTTATAATACTGGGAGTCAAGTTACCGGGAGTGAATTATCCTACAACCGCATGAAAAAATCTCTGTTTTGAATTTGCTGTGACATGGATTGAAATTTTTGAATCTAAGTCCAGAATGTGCACAAAAGGTTGAGTATCTTTATGAGTTTTATAAATCTATAGTCCCCCGGTAGGTCTAAGAATTTACAAAATTTAAAATCGGGTTTCGATACCGACGGTTGGCAGAGCACAGATAGCTTCTTGTGTATCCTCCCGCTTAACAACAAAACAAACAATCATAACTATAAAACCTGGTACTCATCTTCAGTTCATGGTTTTAATATACTTTCTCATGGTGTAATATTATATTTTACCGTTTTGAGTATCCACACTGTATTGGTATTTCAACGTAATATATATACTTATATTTAGTATAGTGTTTATTTTTTCGGTGTTAATATAGTAAAAAAAAATACTATATGCATTTATATTATCATAAGAAATCATCAAATGCGAAAAAAACATCTATGAACTTAACAACAGCATAACAGAGTGAAAGAACAGAACATTTTTGAGATTTACCTTGAACATAGATGTTGAAGCAAATATTTGAAATATTTAGTTTCCAGGCGTTTCAATTGCCGCACGCTTAAAATTCTAGCTTAGATACTTGTTATTTCTTGTGAGATAATGAAAAATTAGACTGGACAGGATATGAATTTACTGATTTGCTTATTGAACAGAACAATTTCATCCAAATATGTTACTGCGTTTTGAATGTCTTAGTTAACATGTGTCTCTATTTTTTTTTTGGTTTTGTGAGGGGGAATTCGGGACGACTCTTGAGAGCACAGCGGCAGAACTGAGAGTTCGAATCATGCCCACTTTGTAATTTTAATATCTACAGATATTTATGGATGTTTATTGAAATTACACTGCAAGTCGTACATTACAAACTGGTAAGTTTGTTCTTGAGCGCGATTATACACAATGGGATATATACTCTATAATTACTAAAGAAATCGAACCCGGAATTTTAGCGTTATAAGCACTCGGGCTTACCGCTGAGCCATTGGAGAGGGGGGGGGGTGAAGTTAGTAAGTATTCCGCTGAATTGCAGCATTACCCGTTGAACAGTTGCGTATATAATTTTCATATATTTTGTCCTTAACAAAACTCGGCAACAAACTTTGCTTAACAGATTAATTTAGAATAAAACCTATGTATCTTATGCGTTTATAATTAATATACAATGTATTGTGTGAGAGGATCGAAATCAATAATCTGAGTATTTTTAAAAATGAAATTATCATTCCGTATGTATTAACCACCACCATTATATTGAATAATATAACACGTCAAAGTTCAAAATTTTAATGTTAATTGCGTACTTTCATATCACATACTTCTATTCTGCAGTAACACGTCATAAGATTATTGCACGTGAAAAATATAATTTCTATATAAGTATAACATACCACTTCCGAAAGGTGGCGCCGAAATACGATGTTCTAACTGCGACTTAAAGTCTTGAATGCCACGAAAACTTCCAACAGATCCATCGTCAACCAGAAAAAAATGGGTGTGATTTGGATTCAGTGACCCTGGTTGACCCAGTTTGAAAACAGGATTCACTTTATACCTAGCAGTGTAAGGTTCCTTAAAATAAATATAAAGATGGTTTTCACAATTGTGCAAAGATTTGGCTCAAAATGAATTTTAATGTGTACATAGAACATTTTTCTTTATGTTCATTACTAATACTTTATTTATTTTATGATTTATTCTATTCTATCAGTTTCGTCTGAGTGGTCTGACTTTGATTCTTCAATAATTGATATTCAAGAATATCGATAAGTCAATCATCACTAAAATGGTAAATAAACAAATGAAAGTCTGGTAACAAAAATATTTTAATACGGACTGACTAACGTTTTTTTTTATCGGTTGTTGGTTTCATGCCGGTACTAACCTTCACATTTACATTTACCAGAGCTTCTTTATCATCTATGTAACCCCATTTGGTAACCCCGATGCATCTGTAGGCGTGGGTCATCCTTTCACTTGTGGATAAAAGAAACTGCCTCTCCCTGATGGCCTCCCCTACAATTTTCATACTGCCGAAATTGCAACCACCCGTGATTATCCAGGCATTAGTTGTCTCAGCCGCCTGAAAGAGAAAACAAACATGTAAATAAAATTCACACTAACTGGACTGATTTGTATGCAAATACGTTTTTTTTTCTAAAGGGGTATTGAAATCGTCCAACGATGTACTGCTGCTAATGTAGCAACACAATATGATTCGTCCTACGATGTACTGCTGCTAATGTAGCAACACAATATGATTCATCCTACGATGTACTACTGCTAATGTAGCAACACAATATGATTGATCTCTGTTAAAATTTGTTGTTGTTTTGCGAACAAAGCCACTTTGGACAATCTGCTATGTTCGCCGCGGGGATTCGAGCCTCAGATTTTAGTGTTGTAAGTCAGTAGACTTACCGCTGTCCCACGGGAGGGACTTTTTTTTCAATAACCTTTTGACTGGTGCTAAAACTATAAAAAAGTTTGTATTACGCATAATCATAAACTGGTACAAGGAACTTATCCTCAGCCCTAAGCGTATTTTAATATGTACACAGAATATTACCATATATTCATTACTGATGCTTTAGCTCCCAGTGGCACAGCGGGATGTCTGCGGACTTACAACGCTAGAAACCGGATTTCGATACCGGTGGTGGGCAGAGCACAGATACCCCATTGTGTAGTTTGTGCTTAACCTCAAAACAAAGAAACAAAAGCTGTGCTGTGCCCACAGCAAGTATCGAAATCCAATGTTTAGCGTTATAAACCACCACAGTTATTGCTGAGTCACCAGGTGGATTTTTAGAAAGATAATTCAACAATGGGATGGGAAAGAGGATTTGAGTTTTGTTACACATAACTGTCTTGAAGAGAATTCATCTTGAATTACGATAATAATAATATCAGAAATACTTACACTGATCAATCCAGTGTTAAATCTTTCTTTCCGTCGTCCATCCAAGTGGAAGTTTTTGGCGCCACCTGCCACAGAAATTACCAGGTGAGGCTCATGCGGATCCATCATACGCCAGTATTCCTTCATTAGCTTGAAGACATGCTCCACTGGGGTGTCATCAGCCATACGAATATACTGTAATGGGCAACGTCAATTCATGTCTGTAAAAGGGTGTTATTTAAAAACAAACAAGTTTTTTTTCTTTTTTAATGAACTATGCAAGGAAATGTTTGCTTTAAAAACAGTCACACTCTCAATAACAATCTCATTCCCGAAGATGTTGACTTCGATTGATGTATCTATTTATTCGAAAATATCTTTTATTTTTTTTAGTCCCGAAGCCGCTTGAGACCGTTAAGACACCATAGATGCTGACACGCCCTAGATGATCCATGGGCAAATTTACCTGGTAACATTCATCTCCTTTCCAGTTGGCCTTCCCTATTTTAGTAATTTAGACTAGAGTAAAGGCAGCTAGTCAACACCACCCACCGCCAACTTATGGGCTACTCTTTTACTAACGAATAGTGAAATTTACCGTAACAATATAGCATACCCTTCGGATGAAAGTGCGAGCATGTTCAACGACGGGGATCGAACCTGCAACTTGAAGATTGCGATTCGAGCGCCCTAACGCTTTCCTCTTTACAGTTGTAATTTTAGATAAAGTAGGTAAATGGAGTTTTGCAGGTAAAAATAGAGTGATAAGGCTTACCACTTCCACAGAAGACTATCACAAGACTGTGGAACTATCGAAATAATTTACTTTTGCTAAGTTTAATCACGAAGCATATTAAGCCACACCATATGGCGTGCGCAAAGAAAGATAAAGTATACAGAAGCTGAACATTAATAGTTGATCAAATGAAACGTTATATATCTATGTCGTTTCGTGCGGGGTAGACTTGCATATAAATGATTCAAGTGGAAATGCAGTAAAGGAATTGTTTTATTTTCCAACTTCTACATTGCAGGTTTATTTTTATTTCACTAAAGGTTTTCATTTCCTCAAGTATTACTAAACGTAATACAAAGTAGCAAGTGTGACTTATGTTAGGACCGTTACTGTACTTTCCTAATGTATTCTCTGGATTCATCAAGATCGTTTGCTGAATAGTTACTTCTCTTTAGAACATAAGGCCATGAGTGCTAGCCTACTGAAGTGATTAAATAGTTAAGAAATTATTAAACGACCCCCAGTTTTCAGCTTTCCTCCTTAACTCACCTTCCCCATAGGAAAAAAAAAAAGAACTGTAAGATATAATTTCAAATTATGCTCCAAAAAACTTCAAATAATCAAGCCTTTCTCATTCTTGTGCCCGTGGCGTTAAAGGGGTGAGAGGCGAAAGGCTGTAGAAGTTACAATTCGTGTGGGGCATGTCGACTTATGCCTTGAGTTGCTTCCTTGTCGATTCTATTTGGGGTCGTTAAGTGGATTTGTGCAGAGTTCTGAAACAGTGCTGTATGACAGACAATCCACTCGAGACCTTTGTCACAGACGTTTACACTGAAACACCAACCTAAACAACTGTTTAAAATTTTCAGTAGGTAAAGAAAAGTCATTATTAAAGTTAACTTAAATGTGTTTAAAAGGTTCAGTAGGCAAAAAAGTTAGTAGTTAAACTAACTAAAATGTCTGTTTAATAAGTTCAGTAGGAGAAAAAAAAATCCAATAGTTAAGTCAACCAAAACGTTTGTTTAAAGTATATATTAGGTAAAGAAACGATACCCGTTAAGCTAATGAAACGTTCGTTGGAAATGTTCAGTAACTGAAAAAAATCCAGTAATTAAGTGAAGCGAAACGCCTGTTTAAAATGTCCAATAGCTAAATTAAAGCCAGTATTTAATATAACTGAAACGTCTGTCTAAAGTTTTTAGTAGATGAAGAAAGGTCAGCAGTTAAGTCAAAGCAAACAAGTGAAAAAACATTAAACCATTATTAATTTTTAAACCTAAACATACATATTTACTTAATTTGATGTAAGAAAACGGCAGTTTTGTTTTAATAAACTATATAATCAATTTCTAAGTATCATCAAAATATAATTATAAATACATTAAATTAAGTTATTTTTGGACAACAACGGCAAGTGTTTCCAGTCCTCCAGTTTTGTGAAACAGTGCCTAGTTATAATAGGGCGGTAAAAATGGCACCAGTAATAAAGTAAAGTAGGGAGAAATGGCGTATTACTTTAAAAAAAACAAAAAAAACGTAACCTTCGAATTTTGTTGTATCATTATTATCATTTTCCTTTTGGGATGAAACGGAACCATTTTAGTGTGC